CTGAGCATATACCAGGAGCATGAGAACACCTGCCCCACAGGGCGGTTGGGAGAATGAACCAGGTACAGCACTCAGAACAGCACCTGGCACAAAGCAAACACTTACATTTTACCATTTAAATTATTATTATCCACTATCACTTTTATGACTTTGTTAGTCCTAGGACTTTATGAGGTATGTTTATCACTGCCACTTCATAGAACAGGAAATCCGAGGCTTCAAGAGGTTAAATAATTAGCTCAAACCAACAAAGCAGCAGAGAAGGAACTCAAGCCTGGCCAGGCTGGCTCTCACTAGGTCCACTGGGGGAAGAGGCAGGAGGACTCTCCAGAGAGCAGAGTGGGGTGGGAGGGCCCAGCCTGACACCGCCTACCCGCTGGAGGGGAAGGCAGGCTTAGTGCCCTCGGCTGAAAGGGCAAGCAGGTCCAACTTTTTACCTCCCCTATCAAGGACAGAAAGCCACACTGCTTAAAATAATAATGATTAAAAAAGAAARCCGTCCCCTGTGGCCGGCTATTCCAGGGCTCCACAGTGAGCCAGCACGGCYAGCATCTCAGAGCACACTGAGTTCAAGGCCAGCAGCAGCTCCACAGTGGCCGCCCAGCACCCCCTGGCTGAGCTCCAGGCAATGTTTTTCCTTCTAAACTAACACACAATTCTGCTGAACAAACCACTCGAAAGCCAGAGAGATGCCCCTCGGTTGCCATGGCAATATTACACAGACAAAATATTTTAACCAGCTCTGACGCACACACACAAACTTTTTTTTAAGGGCCAAGTAGATRGATTTAATGGGGGGCAGGGGGTGGGGTGAGGAGTGTTATTTCTAAAGCTCCATCTTCATGGATTTGGCCCCAAAAGCATGGAAGTCAGATTGAAACAGGGCAACTGACTCCATTAAAAGACTCAGGCCATCAGCTTGTTGCTAACGTTCCCTCTCTGGTCACGGTCCAGGTCCACTTACAAGGCCCAAGATCTGGGTGCTAAGAGGTCATGGATGTGTATGGGCAAGCATCAGGTTAGAGACATGGGGACAGCATGCTGTGACCCAGCACCCGAGCTTCAGCAGAATCAAAAGGACCAAATGTACTCACGAACATCAAAGGGCTTGCTTTAAAGAGCCCTGCAAATGAATGTCAGTGCTGACATGATAGATATTAACAACCACTTCCAACTGGGCAGCATTTTTATTTTCCAGATCACGTGGTTGAACTTTCATCCACACAAGTTGATGGACTTGGATTTCTTTCTTTAGAAAGCTTTGTCCTGGGATCCACTGGGGATTGCTCCCCCAGATGCAGTAATCTGGGGACTGACGAAGAATGCAGGGTCTTGTCCAAGGCCTGAAGATAGTCATRTCTGTTGTACCCTGGGCTCTTCCATGCCCCACCCATCACCCTAAGCACAGTAGGACAAAGGCTGATATTTCTGGGAAACTAAGCTAAAAGGGTCTCACCAGATTTAGCTCATGGCAATTTGAAAGGATCAATGAACAAATGTTCAAAAAACTGCCCACTGCAGAATCCATGCCATCCTCAGGTAAACAGAGTCTGCAGATGTGGGTTTCATACCCACTATCTCTGCTTAGAATCCTCTTCTACTCACCATCCCYTATGCTGACCCTTCTTTCCTTTCAAGATTCAATCCTTAGAAGTTATTCTTAAGCTCCTGCTTGTCCTAGGGTAGAAGAGGCCCCCAACAGGCCATATACAGGTGTGTGTGCTGGAAAACACAGCTGGAAAATTCTATTGCTCTGTCTGGTCTGTTGCCCACTCATGTGAAATCCTCAACGGCAGGATTCACATCTTGTTACCCGTGTATTCACCTGACATAGCCCAGTGCCTGGCATCCCTAGGCACTTGGTGACTGCCAGCTGACAGGCTAAMAATATGCAATGCCCCTTGCGTTTAGGGGCAGCAGCCCCCCCCCCTAATTCTCAAGCCCTATTCCTGTGTCTGCTTTCACTTCCCTGTCCTGTGGGAGGAGCACAGGACTCAAAGCATGCCCTGGCATGGATAGAGCAAAGACTGGGTTCCTGAGCAGTCCAGTGGGGGAGGAGCAGTGAACCAGGGAGGAAATGTACCCTCCCACCAGTGCTCACTCCTGCTACAAAGCTCAGGCTCCTCCCACCAACTTACTAATGAAATGAATTAGGCCCTTAAAAGTTTGAACAACATGCATTAGACACATGCTCTGAAACAAAGTTGCTTTTCTTTGGTTCCATTATTAAAGGCTCCTGGAAACTGTTCTATCAGTTATCATTTTTTTTTTCCTTTTTTTTTTTTTTTTTTTTTGGCGGGTGGTGCTGGGGTTGAACTCAGGGGGTACTCTACCACTGAGCTACATTCCCATTCATTTTGGTTTTTATTTTGAGACAGGATCTTGCTAAGCTGCTGAGGCTGACCTCAAACTTGCAATGTCCTGCCTTAGCCTCTCAAATCATTGTGATTCTGTTTTCTTGGGGCAGTGATGAATCAATTCTATGCTGATCATTTGGGGGGAGATAGCTGCCCTCCCGATAGGACGTGCTCCCCCAAGTTCTCATCTTGTTGTGCCTTATCTTTCTTCCACCAAAATGATGCTCTCCTCCAAATAGGCAATATTTAGMAAACAACAACAGCAAATGTTTATCCTTGGGTAACACTAAATAAAGCTTAATGGGAAGATCAACATCTTAGGAATCTAGAAATGGCTTGCTGTGCCATATTCTCAAATTACACTTCCCATGAGTAGAAATGCTTGAACTCTGTATGAGCTCATGTGTGTGTGCATGCAGGTGTCCTGCTAGCTACAGCAACACCCATGCCTGTCTATGAGCACCTGCTACATGAAGCAGTGAGTTCTGCCTTATGCATTTGTCCTTGTTTTGTGATGGAGGGGAGAGGACAATGGGCCTGTTGTCCTTATCATCATCTCTCTCATTTCCTACAGAATGGAATGACTATGGTGGAAGTTCTTACATTTTCTGGACTCACATATTGTGTGCTGAATTATTCTCTGCTAGGTTTACCACAAAATTGTGTCTGCCTCCCCGCCCACAAGCTGGAACTAATTATCACTGACAATTATAGGATTTTATATTCCTGTGTTCTAAAAACACATCATACACACACACACACACACACACACACACACACACACACACAGAGGGGTGGTGGGGGAGAGAGACAGAGAGAGACAGAGACAGAGAGAGAGAGAGAGAGAGAGAACACAATGCTGAAAGAGTCATGGAGAAACCACAAAACTGCATTGGTGCCATAGCACTATTTATAAAGTATATATTTGCATATAGAACTAAATTTGCATGGAAGAATCTAAGATGACAATATTTTATAAACTTGAAAGTGGACTTTAATAGCAAGCCACTCCTCCAATAGAAGGGGCAGAAAATATTAAATGCTCCAAACAGAATAAAATGTTAACCACCCTTAAATGTCAGTTCTACGTGTGCATTGTAATAGGCTGGGACAAATGTGCTGGTATCTTCTACAGGGAAATAATGTGTCTCTTTCATGTGAAGCTATTGCTGCATGTGTAAGATGCTTGCACTAAAATTAAGTCTTCTATTGCCCAAATTTTCTCAATTATTAATACACCAGACAGCTGCAGTAGCTCTAGCAAAAATAGCAGCCAAGCTTTTCTGAAAGTCAAAGCAGCCATGAGATGCCTGCCTGGGAACTTTCCTGTGTAAGAAATGGTTGGTCTCTGGATCAAACAAAAAGAAACAATACCTCCAATAGAACAACAACAAAAAGAAGAAGAAGAAGNAGGAGGAGGAGGGGGGAGGGAGGAGGAGGAGGAAGGAAGGAAGGAAGGAAGGAAGGAAGGAAAGGAAGGAAGGAAGGAAGGAAGGAAGGAAGGAAGGAAGGAAGGAAGGAAGGAAGGAAGGAAGGAAGACAATGAAAAAGAGAAAGAAAAATACTTGTTTCAGAACAGAATGTAACCTGGAAAATGACTTGCCCTGCCCATGAACTTCTGTAATACAACTGCTTTTGTGTATGGAAAGGGGTTGTTGGAAAAGGTTGCCCACTTGCCCAACTCTCTGGGATAACAATTCAAAAAATTAACCAGTGAACCCAAGGAATGCCAATGGCTTTGACATCTCCTGAAATGAGACCTGCCCAAAAAGGGTGGGGTAGGCTAGAGGAATGAATTAGGCTCTTTTTAAATTTCTAGAAGCTAATGAATGTCCAGGAAAAAAAAAAAAAAAAGATACCTTGCCACCTTCAGGTTTTAAGCAATTATCGGCATCCTCTTAACAGACTCCAACAACAGACATTCTTTGTGTCAATATCTGGGCTGACAAAGTATTTGGAAGTGAAAAACTAAGCACTTGGAGCACCAGAATTCAATGCTTTTTGGACTCAACAATGACCACGGATTTTAATTCAAAGATTATATGTAGCACAAGAAAAGAACAGATGTTAAAGTTATTTCTTAACTATAATATCATAGCTTAAATGTATCACACCAGCAAAAAACATCATCTGTCAAGGTCATAATGAGAAAGGTCCAGATATGACTGAACATTTCACACTTGCTGTCACAGTTCTGACTTCACACCATTCTAACCTTTAAAGGCAATCATATTCACATGCCCTGATTCTGATCTGTAAGATACCATTGCTTCATCTGAGCCTCAACATCGCATTCAAGCGGAAATTGCTACCGGTCTTTGGGGAAGGAGAATGAGTCTTAAACAGTTCAAGTTCCAAACAGGTACATCTTTGCAGCAGTCCTGCATAATCTGTGTCTAAGAGGGAGGACAATATTTCATTTTCGCTGTCTCCCAATCTATATAACAATCACAGCCAGTTTTTAATAAATGCCAGCAAATGTCAAAGAAGCAGGACATGGCTACTTGGAAATGGCTGTCTGTATGTTAATGTCATCCTCTGGAGTAAATCATCTGGGGTGAATACATTCCATGATGGTCAGTATCATTTAGAGGCAGAACATGCTAACATATCACCAATGCTCACTAATAATGTACCACTCACCATTTGCGATCTGTTCTTCGGACAGCCATTGATGTCTTCAATCTTTTCATTTGCTGAAAAAGGAAATACAAGTCAGGAAGATAAATAATCACCAGAGAGATACTTCTAGTAGTGATGGTCAGGACACTTGAGGCCAACCAAGTCCTGAGGCCCATTCTGGGGTCTGTCCAATCAACACAGGCATGTGGAACACTGAGACGCATCCAGCAAGTTTCAGGACTTACTCATCAAGCCGCAGTCCTCCAGGGACAGCTGGGGCAAGGTCGTCATCACTTAAAACAGAGACAACTGCATTGACGGCAGTCTTGCAGCGATGGGGCATCGTGACAGTGTTTGGAGACTGGGAAACAGAATGAGCTGTGATTGTGCTTTGGGGTCTTAGAGAGGCAGATGTCAGTCACTGCAACCTCCCCACGGAAGACAGGACAGTTCAGAGTGAGATCAGTTCAGCTCGACTCAGCTCCTGGGGATGGATGCCATAGAGGAAAGCAGCTTCAGCTTTCATCTGTAATTTTGTTGTCCTAATACTTATTCCCCAAGTGGGGGCAAATGGGGGAGATGAGAAAATTAGACTCAAAAATGGCTTGACCAAGGCAAGCCTAAATTAGATCAGTGAGCACACACGCTTGAAGTCAAAATAGCACCTAGTTACTGAAGGAGAGGTGAAAGAAAGAGGTTGCACTGAATGACCAGGAAAACAAGCGCTGACAAAGAGGAATGGCTCAGCTTCCCCTAGTGAACACAGGCCCTGCTCAGTATAGAGGAATCCCTGGCAAGACACAGCCCGAGATATCCACAGAGAGGCTGAGTTTGAGAATGCAACACACAGGAAAGGCAGTGTGCACAGCAGTGAGAGGGCCGGCTCTGGAGGCAGAGATGGGAAGTGAATCCCAGCTCTAGAGCTCAGCCGCCATGTGATCACAGCCATGTCACTCAAACTTAACCCAAGAGTGTGTGTGTGTGTGTGTGTGTGTGTGTGTGTGTGTATGTCTATGTATGTATTTTATTTTATTTTATTTTTGGTACTAGGCATTAAACCCAGGGGCACCTAACCACTGAACCAAATCCCCAGCACTTTTTAATATTTTATTTAGAGATAGGGTCTCACTGAGTTGTTTAGGGCCTTACTAAGTTGCTGAAACTATCTTTAAACTCCTTCTACCTCAGCCTCCCAAGCTGCTGGGAATAAAGGCACGCACCACTACGCCCAGCTCAATACATATTCTTACCACCTACATAAAACATAACATAAATTTTTCTTTTTGAGGTCAGCATGTGGGTCAAGCCAAAACTCCACAGTAAAGAACTGAAGATTGACTTCCTCTGAAGCTTTTATAAGTTCCCTCTCCAACCCCAGATCCCTATGTCCCATGCTCTCACACTACAGAAGGGTAGAGCCACTCAGGTCTCTGCCTCACAGCACCCTGCCTCTGCCTCTGCCATCCTCTCAACCATCTACCATGTAACACCCCTACCCAGGAGGTGAGAGACTGGCAGATGTGTCAAGTTTATTTTTCACATTTGTATCCTGAGAGCTCAATAACTGCTTGCAAAATTGAATCCCCACATCACATCATAATATGTTGGCTAAAACTTTCATGAAGAGAAAAAGCATTAACAACTGTCTGAAAGGATACAGAATCAAAGAATCCCATGCCTCCCAAATTTTAGAACATCTGAGCCTAAGTATAGATTGCTATTATCTCAAGCTGGGTTCATTTTTGGGTTCAAGTATTTCTAGTTTGAGAGAGATGCACAAACTCAGAAAGAAAGCAAGCAGCAGGAAATTGCTCACAAATCTCGCTGCCATGAGATAGCTAGATTAGTATAGATTCAGCCTGATCTACCTTTTCTTTAGCACCAGCCAAAAGTATTAGATGTTTGCATTTGTGACCTAACTGGGGACTTCCAATCTTCAGAGATTCAGCTGAATGTTCTCAACTCTGCCTAACATAAAAACATTGGGAAAGGAATTTTAGAAGCCTTAATTCCCAAAGAGGTGCCACACATACTACATAAAAGATGCCCAAAGGACTGAGGGAAAAGCTCAGTGGTGGAACACTTGGTCCAGCATTCACAAGACCCTGGGTTCCATCCCCAGCGCTACGAAATAATGAAAAGTAAAAAAATAAAAAATAAAAAATAAAAAAAAAATAGCAAGATGGCCAATGAATGGAAGGACTCATGGACATTTGTTCTTTAGTTCACCAGAAAATACAGTTAGCCAGAATATACTGCCAGCATATAAATTCCATAAGAACAGAGKTTTTTKTTGTTGTTGTTGTTTGTTTGTTTGTTTTTTAATCTGCTTTGTTTCCTACTAGAACCCTAGATCTTAGGACAGTGCTTGGAATAGTAGCCACTCAATAAATATTTGTTGAGTGGAGTTAAGGAATTAAATATCCTGGAGATTTCAAAGAATTAAGGTTTTCCTGCCTATTTTGCAGCAGTGTTCTTTCACTTATAAATATAGATGTACCTTCTGAACACTGAAAAAATGCATCCCCTTGACAAATGGCACTCCTTCGTATATACGGAAAATGATGGCAGCCGTGAACTCTGACCTGGGCATTTGATACTCAACATTGCAGAGAATAAATATGTAGGTTCTTGACAGTTAACACTAAAGGTGTCTTCTAACTGGATACTCATGATGAACAAAGTCATAAGTCATTGGACTCYGATCAATAACCCAGTTCAGCATTAGGTCATTAGTGCTCATTAAAGTGAAGGATGGATAACTGTGATCCTAATAAGTCATTTGGGAAAATTTAAAGATTCTTGAGAGACCATTTGGATAACTGAAACCAAAGAGCTTGATCCAATTACTCCTCTAATTCCTTTTTCATGGCTTGTCACCCAAACCCAGTCAGGTACTCCGTGAATTCAAATACCACAGCTCCTATGAACTAATGTTGCCAATTCACAACAGTCAAAATAAACAGAGGAGATGGAGCCTATTTATGACCATGCCAAGGAGGACCCTGGAAGGCAGAAATCAAATGGCTAATTCACACTCAAACTAAATGCTTAATAAAAATGCAAAATAAATACTTGGGTCTCCCAGTTTCCAGTTTCACATAATTTAAATACTTCTCCTTTACTTAAATTCCCAAGAATGCCTATGGTTGCTATAAATCCTTAGATGCTAACAGCAGTTCTGATCTGTTGGTAAGAAGGAAGAGCTGAATCTTCAGAGCCAAATTTTTAAGCTCAGGGTAGAGGGTCTTTGGCTGGAATCCAAAAGCAGATAAACAAAAAAGCAGAGATATTTGTCCCCAGAGTCCTCAACTATAATCAAAACTGGCACTTCTCAGAGCTCAAGGTAATTTCTCTGTCCCAACCTGTTGAAGACATTCTTAGTCCCACTGATGCAGTGACTTCTCTGCACACGAGGTGACAAGCTAGGGTTTGGAAAGCATTGATGCACTCCTTCAATAAGAGCTGTGGCATCAAGCTCATGACCTTCTGAAAGACCTCCAAAGGATGCAGAGCATTTTAACGCCCTGCACATCTATGTCTTGACCACTCCTGGCTGTTGGCAGCCCGGCCAAAGGGAGAGACTGCCTGCCCAGAAGGGCAAATGACTTRTCCAAGGTAACAGAGTGGTAGTGGGATGAAAAAAGGTACAGTCCCACATGCTGTCTGAATTTTCAGACATTTTGTGCAGAAAATGGTGGAAAAGAAGCAGCTATTTGCTCTAAAGCTAAGTCTCCCTGCCCCCTCGGCTCACTCTTAGTTCATTCTTTTTCTTCCCTCTCTCTCTCCTTCCCTCCCACCAACCCTGAGTGACAGAAATGAGAGCAGAAAGGGAGCAGTGTCTCTCCCTCTCTCTATTTGCACTGCTGACCCTGGTCTTGGGAACCTTCCTTTAACTCAGAGGGATGACATGGTGATGGCCTGGCAGAAAACCGAAGGGCCTCGGGCAGCTGAGGACTCAAGAAGATAATCACGCTAATAAGAGGCGGAACAGACAGACCAGCCCTCAGCCAGCAAAGGAAGACTGTTCACAGACAGCAGCAAAAGGCCCATTTCCTACCAAATGGCAGAAGACAGCCATGGAGAAGTGTGGCCCTTACAACCCTACTCTAGGAAACAGGGCTGGAAAGCCGGCTGGATGGTGTCTGGGAGAGGTGAAGACAGGAGCAGCCTGTGGCAAAAGCAATTAAGGCTCACCTTAAAGTCAAGTTCTGATGCACTTGCCAGTCTGCAAACCAACCTGCCTCTCAGGCTAGAGGCCAGACTTGGCTGCCCTGTACCTGGCGACTCTGCCTGACTTTCGTCTCTTACCTCCAGCCTGTCTGCACACGGTCTCCTCCACCAGGCGTKCCTTTCCTGCCGGCTTCTCCTACCTGACTGCTGCTTAAGTTTGAGGTCTTGGCTCCAGGTTAATTCCTGGGGGAAACTCTTCCTGATTCCCACCCTCCCCGMCCCCCATCACTCCACCAAAGTCAGGTCTCTTAGCACCTTGCGTCCTTCACACTGTGCACTGCGCTTCTCCCAGGACTAGCAAGAGTTTGTCCCTTAAAAGGGACTACTTGCAACCTATGAGTTTTGCTGGGCTTCATTTAGAAGAAAAAAGTGGTTTTTTTCAACTTTTTATTTTGAAAGAATTTCATTGACTTAGAGAAAAGTTATAGGAATAATATAGAGTATCCCCACATATCTTGGTCCATTCCCTCTTCTTCCCTTCCTCTTTCTCTATGTAGGTACAAGTTGTGTGTTTTCATTTTTTTCTTTTTCTTTTTTTTCCTGAATCATGTTGGAGTAAGCTATATAGATCATGTCCTTTTCCCCTTTATAGTTCAGTATATATTTCCAAAGCATAATAAGCATATTCTCTTCCCTGGTACAATTGCAAAATTCAAAACATTTAACATTGATGCTATGCCAATATTCCAATTTTGTCAACTAACTAAAAAAATGTCCTTTAGAGCATTTTATTCCTCTGAACAGGATGCAGTCCAGGATCACACAGTGCCTTTAGTTGTCACGTCTCTTTAGTCTCCTTTATTGTGGAATAGCTTCCCAGACTCTGTCTTATATAGACACT